GCCCCCCCCCCCCCCCCCCCCACCCGGAGGCCCCCGCCGCTGCCGCCGCCTCGCCCGCGCTGCCGCCCACCAGCCAGTAGCTCACGCGCCCGTTGGCGCCCGCGTCCGCGTCGCGCGCCCGCACGCGCAGCACCGCCGCGCCCGCCAAGTTGTTCTCCGACACGTAGGCGCTGTAGGCGGCTTCCTCGAACACCGGCGCGTTGTCGTTCACGTCCGACACGGACAGCGACAGCGTCGACAGTGACGGAGTGCCCCTGTCACTGGCAGTGATTGTGATATTGTAATGAGAATCTTTTTCTCTGTCCAGGTTATTTTGTGTTACTAATTTGTAGGAATTTTTGGAAGCTGATACTAGCCGGAAAGGCAGGTCGCTGTCGATGTAACAGCTCACTTCTCCATTGTCTGCGGAGTCCCTGTCGCGAACATTGATCACTGCTACAACTGTTCCTGGAGCCGAATCTTCGGGGATCGGATTCATGATGGGCAGGAAGGAAAGCGTTGGGGGGTTGTCGTTCACGTCTAGAATGTCTATGTGGACTTTGGCGTGGCTACTTAGCCCACCTCCGTCTTTGGCTTCAACAGTCACCTCATAATATTTCGCCTCTTCAAAATCTAATGGGCCGGTAATCTTGACGTCACCTGTTCTAGGGTCCAGACTAAGAAGCTGGCGAGCTCTGTCTCCGATATCACTGAAAGAGTAGATAATTTCTGCATTCGTACCTTCGTCACTGTCAGTAGCTTCCACCCGAAAAGCTAAGGAGCCCTCAGTCAAGTTTTCCTCCAGTTGGAATTTGTACATCTCTTTGGTGAATAGCGGGGAATTGTCGTTGGCATCAGTGACATTAATCCTTATCTGTGCTGTCCCAGATCTGACTGGATCCCCACCATCTACCGCCGTCAGTATCAAATGGTGATTCTTTTGGTTTTCTCGATCTAACTGTTTCTCCAGGAGCAGTTCTGCCTGTTTCTTGCCGTCGGGACTCTCCTTCACTACTAAGGAAAAGAGTGGATTGGGGGTGAGGTGATAGTTTTGCAACGAGTTAGTACCAACGTCGGGGTCTCTGCCACTCGCCAGCGGGAACCTCGTTCCTGGAGGCGTGGATTCCATTATTTCTAGGTCCACAATTTCCCTGCTGAAGTGTGGCGCGTTATCATTGATATCCTCAATGGTAACGCTCACATGAAATATATTGAATGGATTTTCCGCGACCACCTCCAAACTGAGGACACAAGGCGACACGTTCCCGCAAATCTCCTCTCGGTCTATCCTCTCGTTTACACGCAGGCTTCCATTATCTTCCCTGAGAGCGAAATATCGCTTTTCGTCACCCGAAACAGTGCGGAGCTTCCTTGCGGGCAGGTCTGCCGGGCTCAGTCCCAGGTCCCGCGCCAGGGGCCCCACCACGGAGCCGCTGCCCGTTTCCTCGGGAATCGCATAGCGCAGCCGCTCCGGTGCCGCCCGGCAGCACAGCGGCAGCAATATGGCCAGCATTGCGACATGCCTGGCTGCTGACCGGCGCTGCGCTGGCAGTATGATCTCCATTCTTTGCTTTGCTGAGCGGTATTCTGCAAACGGTATGAAATTAGTCTCCCCGATCAGCTGAAACAACCCGTGATTCAAATAAATACAATTAATGCTAGTTACCGGGCAGTGGATGCGTTGCAGCAGGACGTGCCTTTCTCTCTGCGCCCAGTTCCGAAGCGGCACTGCGGAGACACCCAGCACGGGGGGAGGTGCCGGTATCGAAAACTGCTCCTCCACGTTGGCCAACAGTGACACCCTGAGACCGTGTCTGAGAATCGCAGCTTCCGAGGTAAATAGCTCGAAGCTCCAGTTAATTAATTCCTTACATAAAAATAAAAAACCAACGCTCCAAACTACATTGTGTAATACGGATATCTTAGTAGTGTAAAAGAGAAAGGCTGTGTTTGTGGAAGTCTGCATTTAGATAAAGCTACCTCTGACTTCCTCCACCTTGTAGAATCAATCCTCTTTCTCTCGCTGGTCTTAGGAAAAGAGAATCCCTGCTCTCTGTATGCATGTAAACCTCAGAGATCTCTAGGGACAGGGCGCTGCAGTTTAACTATCTTCACTGTCATGGGAAAAGAAAACAAAGACGGGAAGGGAGGGAGGGAGGAAGGAAAAGAGGAAGGAAGGAGAAGGAGTTTCAAGGGAGGGGAAGGTAAGTGCAAGGTTTCTTCACCAGTTGGAAATAACCTAAGTTGGAAATAAAGTTGAAAATAACCT